AAATGAAAAAAACATATCGTGATATGAAAAAATCTCATATCGCCCAGCTCTACTTGCATTAATATACTGGTGCCAAGTAATATTTTTTGATAAGACTGACTTATAGATGCACAGTATATAGCTGGCCTGTTACTGTACTTATGTTTCTCTTAGGCTAAAAATGCATGACTCATGCAGCTTGTACAACAATACTAATCACTTTGTACTGCATTTTCACAAAAACTGCTAAACAGACTATAGAAGGACAATGGTTGGGTACCTTGGTAAAGAAGTGATTTCTGTTGCTGTTTAGGTCTGAGCATTTGCACTAGTTGTAACTTGGCTTCACACACTGCTATTATGGAAACTGTATGAAAGAGAAGTGAAAATGATAGTCATACGATTTAAAAACCAAAAAAGACCTTGTTTGGCTGTGTATGTGTTACAGCTGTGTTAGTCATGTTATTAATGTCAATCTAGTGCACATCTGTTCCTTCTGTCAATATTTTAGCCTATATTGGCTAACAGAGAACACATGGAAAGTGTTTGTTTTTGTTTTTTTCTCCTGGTTTTTTTGTTTTGTTTTTTCTTTGTTTTTTTTGCTGGATTATATTAACTTTGCTTTGTGGTTGATCTTGAATTTAACAACAGAACAGATTAATGAAAATAAGCAGGGTTTTTCCTGGAACCAATCTATGTGCGAAAAACAAAAGTTGGCTTATTCTGCTATTTAAATGTGGACATTTAAAGTTTGCATCAAATACTTCTAGATAATTTACACTGACCATCATTTCTACGACCAAATGTCTCAGTGTTGGGAGCATGTGTGAGTAAGTTTTTAATCCTGTTTTTCTTGTTTCCTGTTTGCCCCCCGCAGAGCAAATCTTCCAGAACCTCCGTCAGGAGTACAGCAGGATCCAGAGGCGGCGGCAACTGGAAGGGGCCTTCAACCAGACTGAGGCCTGTAGCTCCAGTGATGCCCCCAGCCCCAGCTCCTCTCTCAATGCTCCCAGCTCCCCACCAGGTAGGAGACGTAATAAACTTGGTTTTCTGCACCATGCATTTTTTTCCTTTTTTCCCCCCTTTCTGGTAAGCATAAAGACAAATAAATAAATAAATAAAACACACAGCTGCACAACACACTCACTGCACAATTTCAAGAAAGGCAGATAAACGGTTTCCAAGTGTTGATGAGAGATGTTGACTTCTGCGTGGGGCTGGGTGACTCCTGTTGTTGCATAGAAACACGCCAATTTGAAAGCATACAGGAGTCAGGGCATGAGCTTCTTTACATGTAGCCATGCATGCCAAGATACCTCAGTGTTGCAAGTGTTTGTTATATGTGGATGTTTTATAGAGGGGAAGATGGACTTAATTAATATCATTGTCAATAATATACTTTATCATTGGTGAAATAAGATAGCTTGCCAGTTTAGACAGTTTCTATCAGTGCCACGTTGACCATTGTTGATCGCCATCATCATCACCCTTTGACATAACTTTACTTCTGTCCCAAATCTAACCTGCTGCTGGTGAGTCACTCTTATCCACTAGATACGATAAAAGTTTGGGTGAACACAGAGAATACATGCATCATGGGCATATTATCCAAGTGCTGTTGACTGTAACGTATGCGTTTCAGTTGGAAATTTTTTTTAGATTAACATTGGATTATTTAAATACATACATAATTTAAAGAGACCTGTCATGTTATTACATGGTCAGGAGGAAAAAGACCCTTGTGACTTTGCACTATACAAATACAATAAAATAGAATTAAATCTGAAGCTCATAGATCAGATTCACTAAAAGAGTTGACTTTTCCCCCCCCTCGTCTGCTTTGTGCAGCTTGATGTGGCTTCCATAAAAAAAAATTGGCCCACTGCTATTTTATGTGATGCAATGCATCAGATGTGATGGAATTACAGGCATTGTTTCAAGTTGTTCCATTCAGCAGTGGTTACATTATCAGTTTGGTGCATAAAGTAAAAAAAATAAAAAAATAAAAAATCCCAGTGACTGTGTGTAATCCAAGCCTCAGGGCTTTGGGTCTGTGTGCTGTGTGACTCTATGCAGGACGACTTCGTAGATCACAATGACTGCACTGTTACTAACCTGGCCTCTTTCTGTCTGCGAGGCCACTGTTTTAACCTTCATCCCCACTCTGCCATCCTCCACTGTGACTTACAAACATTTTAGTCTATTTGGCTCATAGCAGACCTCAAAGACCACTTTGTAATGAATCACCGAGCTAAAGCCGGCTCCAGTTTGAGCCTGGCAGAGACGCTGGGGAGACTCAGAAAGAGGCAGCATTAGTGTTGCATGACCCTCCTGGTCTTTCTGAGGTGAGAGAGGACACAGAGCTGTAATTCTGCAGCCAGCTGAGCAGCTATTAGCTTAGAGAGGATGTTTCTGCCCATGACTGGGTATTGCACCATAGATGTGATTCTGCCGTATTTATTTATTTATAGCTGATCTGATTTGTTTTGCTTTTTTCCTCAGGTGCCTCAAGGAAGGACCAGCCTTCGTTTACGCTGAGGCAGGTGAGCTACCTGTGTGAGCGCCTGCTCAAAGACCACGAGGAGAAGATCCGGGAGGAGTACGAACAGATCCTTAATACAAAACTTGCAGGTAAAAAAATCCTCCTTAATAATAAAATTGAAACAACTCTAATATGAACAGTGCCCTTTATATTCCGGGGATGATGTACAGTCAGTGTGACAAGCATTCGTCTTTAGTGTTTCTCAGATTTTCACGACGAAGCGTTTACAGTGTGTAGCTTCCTGGGGAGTTTAAATGTGCTATTAAATCCCAAGATGAATATTTTATAACAACTGGAGGGAACAAAGACATAAAGAGGATATAAAATGTCTTTTGGCAACAAAAGCAAATCTGCATTCATTTGAGTATGTCTGCTTTAAAACGGTTAATTTAATTTTTAAAAAAAAGTGCGCTCTCTGTTTTGACTCAGGCCTGAGTGTTTGGAGGGTTTATAAACTTCCAAATTCCAACTTGGGCTTGTTGTATACAGGAAGTGAGACGATCTGCTACATATCACACATTATGTTTATTAAAAGCAGTGTTGACTGTTGCACACACAAGTACGTTACTTCTTTTCTTCCTGTAAACGAAAACTTGTTAAGCTTGTCTTTACTTTTGCATTGCTCTGTGACATGGCCCCAGGTGCATTATCACATAGTGTGCAGCCCCTCACACTAACACAAATGCCTGTGCTAATGAGAACACACAGGGTCTTTGCTTTATCGAGGCCGAAAGCCACACAGAACAGTGTTGCAGGGGTCAGCAAACACTCTGCTTTAACATCACTCTGGGTTCTTGGTTGCTACGTTTGTACTGGCTTGCTGTCAGTTCTAGGAAAGTGGCAATGTCGTTGTTAGCAGCTATTTGTGGTCTGAGCCAAACCGTTTGTACTTTACTGATATTTTTGTCCTTCCATTGAGTATAACTCAAAGTAATGTTTATCCGCGCTGCTCTAAAGTTGACTTTTCCTCCTCCACATAACTACAGGGAGCCAATTGTAGCAGAGGTACACTGATTAAAACGGTGTCGGTGAGGTTTAGTAGTTCTACTGATGCTTTATTATGGACAGTTTTTATTAAAAGACCTGGAAATGTGATTGTGAATCAGTTTTCAGGTACTTAGCTTAATGAAAATGAAGACTCGTTCCTCCACCCATTTGATGTTTGCAGAATGTGGCACACACCCTCACCTCCATCCTCTTCTCTTTTCAGAACAATATGAATCTTTTGTAAAATTCACACAAGACCAGATAATGCGAAGATACGGAGCTCGACCTGCTAGTTGTGAGTACTGTTATCTTTATTTACTTTGTTTTTAAGTCTGTTCTCAGTTAAAAAGGACTGCCTCTCTTAAAATAACAACTATTTTGTATTTCAGATGTGTCCTGAGCTCACATCCGTGTGATCCCGGCTTCCTCTAATAAGATGGCTGCTCTTCTACTGCCTCCTTCCAGTTGATTTACATTTTATTTCCCTAACACCGCCCCCTCGTCCCTTCTCAAACTGTTTGGGTGCCATGATTTATCCACTTTTTAATCCAGAAGTTGGTTTCTTACTTCAAAATTATTGCTGCTGGCCAAACTTAGAAAAGTCTGAGAGAAAATCTGTATGAAGCCCGCTATCTTTTGTTTGTTTTGTTGTTTTTTTTTTTTTTCCCCTTCTCTTTTATTTTTTTTCAAATATGCTTTTCTGGACTTCCTCACTAAAGCAGATGTTTGTTGAATCTCTTGCCAGCGCTGTAGAAAAAGCTTATTGGCTTGTGACCGTTCTGTATAACCTTCCAGCAGCTGTATCTACTGGCTCCTGCTTCTCACCTTGTCCCACTTTACTGTCCCCCCTTTCCCAACCTCCCTCCTCACAAAACTTACCCAAAATGTGGATTTTTCTCCCTTTTGAAAAAAATAAAAGTTCTGTGACTAAAACATGTTGTCTGGGTGTTTCTTTAAAGCTCCATATTTATATTAATAATGTGCACATTAAGCCACAACATCTCATCATAAGGTCAGTAATAGTTGCTCTTTTGTGACATGTTGACCATAAAATATGCTTTTTTTTTTGTATCATCTCAAATGTATTTCTTTGCACACCTAAATGACTGAACTTTGAGTAAAATTATGTTGAACATCATTTTAACCTAAAACAGGTTATTGGAAATTATCATCCTGAAGAATACTGCTGGTTTTTTTTGTTTTTGTTTTTTAATCTACGGTTTGGCTTGTCTTTCAAAAACAAAACAAGGGTTATAATTAAATGTAGATAAACGACTAAATTTGAATTTTATTGCTTTTGCTTTTGAATTTTCTGACATTTTGTACAGAAAAATAGAGGAGCTGTGATTAATGGAGTATAATTGATGAATTTAGCAAAAGACCTCTAACATGAGTTCATCCATGCATAATAATAATAAAACCTATTTATGTTGAAATCTCGGAGCTGATGACTTGTTCAAATGGGAACTGTATGGCCATTAAGACTTGTTCACAACTGGTGTCTTAGCTACTGTAATCGTTGATTCTAAAAATAATCCCGTCTATTAGCCTTATTTGCGTGCTGTAGCACCCCCTTGTGGTAGATTGGGAGAACTACAACCTCAATATTAAAGCGGGTCTCTGACCTGAGTGAAGTTTATTGACACTGATCAGTTTGAATGAGCCACGCTTCTACTCAAGAGTATTTTCTTTTCTATGTGTGGTTGGACGCTGGGGTGGTTGTATAGTGTTGGTCGGGATTAGGCCACGGCTCCTTGGGACGAAGCACTACCGTGTCTGTGACGTCACTGACCACAGGTGTGGCACGAGGGGAACAGGTAGGCTGTTTGTGCGCGGTTTGGAAACTTGGGATTTGTGGGGAAAAAAACACAGCTGTGCTGTAGCTGGGAAGAAGAAGGGGAGCATCGGGGTTTGTTTATGTCGCGTAGGAAGAAGGAAGCTTCCTGCAGGAAAAAAGCAATGAAAGGCCTATAATTATCAACAAGGGCTTAAGCGTTTTCTTTCAGTCTCTTAGGGAGGGTCAGTCTGAAGAAGGCAGCTCTGCGGGTCGTCCGAAAGCATGGCCGGACTAAGATAAACAGGGGGAGAAAAAACCCACAAAACATTGCTGTAGGTTACTGTTTAACTCCAGTTCTCACCGATCAGCTCTTTCATTCAGGACTTGGAGTCGTTTGATTTAGTTTGGAGAAGTCGGTATTTGTCTCTTTGGCACCGCCTGGAGCCATCTTCTCTCTTCCTGTTGAAGGTTAAGGTGAGTTAGACAAAGTTCGTGATGATCAATTTATTTTATGTATTTATTTTACGCAGCTATCCAAGAAGATACGAGCGCGAATGTAATCCAAAGCCTCTTAATGCCGACAGTCACCGAGCCCTAAAAATCAGACTTCGCCCAGAAAACAGGAAATGCTACAGCACCCGGTAACCCTGCACTGTTACTGTGCAAATGTAGGCAACACGGAAGGAAGTGCCATAAAATAACATTATTAATAATAATAAATTAGAATCTCAGCCTATAGTCTTAAAAGTTAGTTTAATGCTTACAGTAACCTTCAGTGTATTTCATGTAGTTGAAATGCACGATTAAAGACGACACCCAGCTTCAGGCCAGCTCTTGTAAACAAGGCTGAAATAATCAGCTGAAACATAACTGATCTAAGTAAAACATTTCTTTAGTCAATTTTCTTGCGCACAACCCGGAGGAGGCTTTATTGAATATTGGATGTTTACTTGTTCTGGGACATGACTGAGAGTCAGCTGCCTTCACAAAACGATGTGTTTGTTTTGGTTCCTTTTTCAAAACCTGTTAAGTGTCGTCTCCCGAAAAACTTCCGGATATAAGGAGAAAAAACAAACCTAAATATTCCTCAATAATCGGAGCGAAACTGAAACAAGAAACTAGACCTTTAAAACGAAATGAAATCTAAAGAAGTCTGAGGGGGGGGAAGAGAAGAGAATTATAATAATTGTTGGTGTCAGAGGAAAATAGGATCGGCTACTGGGTGTAAACAAAAATAAAAATGCAAAATGAAAGCATGGATCCATCTGGCCTTGTGTCAACGATTCAGGCTGGTGGTGGATTAATGGTGTGAGGGATCTTTTCTTGGCAATATGGGCTAAACTCGCAGAGGCAGGTGTTTCTAGCTCTGTGTGACAAAGAATTCAGGTAGTTATGAAAGCAAAAGAGAATCTAACAGAACGTGGCTGTCAAGACATAAATAGATGTGAAATGATCACATACTATTTATTAAATTAATTTCCATCCACATTTTAAAAGCTTAAAAAGCAGCTCCCGCTTCCAGTAGTACTCAAATTTCTTTTACACTAACTTAGAATTCACTTTTAACTCAGGGCTGGAGCAGTGATGGCGGACGATGACCTGGAGCAGCAGGAGCCGTTTCCTGTGGAAACGGATGAGAGGCAGCCGGGGGATGAAGAGGAGCAACCGGATGGTGTCTTGGAGATGGGATGTTTTGAGAAGTTCCACCGTCTTGTCTCCAAATGGATGCTCCCAGAACACTTGCGCGAAAAGTACCTGGAACGTGCCAACTGCTTTCCACCCCCCATCTTCATCATCCTCATCAGTATTGCAGAGGTAGTTCTGCATATGCACACATTGATACTGTACAGGCACTAGGACAGTGATTTTGGTTTACATTAGTATTAAATACATTCAGGGTAACTGTTAATAGTACTGTTTTGTTGTTCTTTTGTTCTTAACTTATTTACTGTACAGTTCTTTGGTCCTGTGCTGGCTTTTTAAAAGTACTTTATAAATAAAGTTGGATTGAATTGGATAAGATAGCAGATATTAATGAGAAATTATTTGTGTCTTATTTGACTGTTTGTATATCTTTGAAAATGTGTGTTTTCACAAAGATGAAGCCTTAAACTGAGAAGCTTTGTTGGGCATTTCTTTCTTTCCATGTCTTTCAACATCTGCACCGCCTCCTCTGAATGTCCAGATTCATCAAGTCATTGTTATCAGTGAAAACAGCGGTAGCTTCAGGTTACACTGAGCTTCACTGCTGGGAGAAGCTTTTCCACAGAAAGCCAGTGTGTCTTTCATTCAGATTCAGTTAAATAAAAACATTTGGTAGCTCATCAGTTGATTTACTCTGACCTCAAAGAGTTATTTATGATGTACATTATTAAGTCAAGGTTACAGGGAGTGTATTTAAAATCGCCTCTATGTTAAACACACATCACTGTAAGCTCTCATAGTGCCAATGTGAGCTCCTCTTTCTGGCTTTGTTGCCAGAACTTTATGGCTTCTGCCATTTTGATTTTTTGGAGCGGGAAGTGATCATATTTAGACAAGAGGGTGGAGTGCTAACCTGGGAGCTAACGCCACCGAGCTTGTTTACATACCAGCCTCAATTTCCGGGGCTGAAAATTAAAGAGCCACAAAGTGCCAAGAGGAAGACTTCCTCTACTTGGCCACATGTAACAAAGCTCCCATGTTAAAATGCCCAACTTTCATGTTTACAGCCTGGTCTGTGCAGATACTGTCCCCCGTCACAACAACACTAGAGGTGGTGAATTTCAGTATAACTCGCCTATCTGGATACTGGAGTTAGGCGTGTGGGTACTTTGATTGGCAGCTGTAGCTGAGTAGTGTTTGTTAGGATTCACCTTTGCTCCTTGAAGTCACTTAACTGGATCTCTTCACTTTTTTAGTGTCCTTTGGAGTATTTTTAAAGGCTTAGTTGTATGTGGCTTGCTGTGCGGTATAGATTGTCTGTTTATGCTTCAGTTTCTGTGAGCACATGAGGGCTTCTGAGATAACCAAGTCAGTTTTCCACTTGGTTATATTGTAATGTGAGAGCTGGTGTGAAGCCTGTTGCCTCTGTTTGCATGTTGCCTTGTTCAAACTTAGGAATGAACAGCTCTCTTTGTGGCTCACAGATGTCCAGTGTTGCTGCATTTGAATGCCCATGGATACTTTCTCAGCGTGTTGTTGCTTTATACTCATAGAGATAACCATGTAGACTCTTTGTATCATCAGACTGGGAGGAGTTTTGAGGTCAAGTTAGTGGGAAACATGTCTCTGTAAAGCAAACCTCAACATCTGTATGTCTAATTCCCTCATTCTTTTGTTTTTTTCACAGCTATTAGATTTAGCTTGACCCTGATATCTTTTCTACAGTGTTTTAGACGCTCATACTTCATGTCTAATGTTTTGTATCCACCCTATTTCATTCATCAGTTGGCTGTATTTATCTACTATGCTGTGTGGAAGCCACAGAAACAGTGGGTGACCCTGGATGAAGGCATCTGGAACAGCCCTTTAACCTACAAGCCTGAATGCCGGAACGAGGCATGGCGCTTTATCTCCTACATGTTTGTCCACGCCGGGTAAGCATGGGTAGAGCTTTTAAATATGTTAATTACACGAGTGAGGCTCTAATCAGTGCAAAACCCCCCAGAAAAACATTTTTAAAAAATGTGGATAAAACCCACTCACGGGTGGTAATTAAACCCAGCGGTCACTTTTGAGATTGCAGGTTTTGCCTAAAGCATCCTGTCTTGTGTTTTTTAATGTTGAGCTTTTAGCTGCAGCAGTAGCCCTTCAAAATTACTCACCACAGAGGTGAGTAATTTTTCATGAAGGTGGATAACTAATATTATCCCAGCTGCCATGGGGTGAGAATGGGGGCACACCCTGGACAGATCAAAGGTTTATTACAAGGATAGCACAGAGAGAGGCAGACAGTCACACCTCCCACACCTACAACCAAGAGGAAACCAGTGCAGGCACATGGATATCATGCAAACTCAAGTTGAGCTTCAGGTCATGTTAAAGAATTGCATGGAATCTTGGTAGTAATTGTCTGGCATGGCTGTAAAACCACTGCAAATGTACTGGATGCAGCAAGAAAGAAGTCATTAGTGCATAAGCTGCAGAAAGACCGGAAAACCAAACATCATGACTC